CATGAAGTCAGCAGGACATGCAGCCTCCCGAGCCTACCACATCTGGCAGAGCTTCTGCCAGTTCCCTCTGCAAAATGCAGCTGTGTGCTGGCCACCACCCACCACAAAGAAAGGACCCAGGGCTCCATGGGGACAGTCCCTATTGAAGCCCAGCAGCCCAGAAGGCTCAAGGAAGAAGAGCTTCACCTTATGGGGCTAAGAGCAGAGCAAGGAGTGAGGGAGGAATTCAGACACACACACACACACACACACACACACACACACACACACACACAAGAACATGCATGCATGCACTGTGTGCACACAGGCTGGAAAGGTGAGCACATCTCACCACACGACCCCCAGGACTCACAGCCAGCACGCTCTGGGCAACTCTCTGGGGAGAAGCTGAACCAGCGCCCTCTGGAAGGGGGCACATCTAGGGTGCAGTGCAGCACTGCCTGCCAGCACAAAGCAGCCTTCCGCTGAGGAGGCGGTGGTCCTCCTCTGCCTCTCTGGCCTGGCAGACCAGGCCCTTTCATGGACGCCCCTCCCTGACTCCCAGCTCTGCACCACTGGGTCTGCATTTCCATGCCTATTTTAGGGTTGAGAAAATGGGCTTCGTAAAGCTTTCCAGGGTGTAAGCAGCACAGCCACAACTTGAACCCACCCACATTCTGATCTCTTTCCACTGCTCTAGACAAGACATCCCATCTTAGCTGAGGAGCCCAGAGCCACAGGCAGGGACACAAGGGGAGCAGGTGCCTGTGTGCCCATAACGCCTGCACCCTGGGTGCCCCTGGACAGGAGCCAGCCAAAACAGGCAATGGCAGCAGCAATGTGTCCCTGTAGTGGAAAGTGAGCAGCAGGGTAGGAGGAGGTGAGGAAGAAGGGGGGATGAGGCAGCCATGAGAAGAGGGATGAAGTCACCTAGCTGCATAGCTGTCCATGAGTGAGTTTCTTCAAGGGAAAAAAATAATGTGGCTCAAAAAAGTTACCACCACTGGCCACGAATCTATTTCACCGATGAGAAACACCAGTGATACACTGGGTTTCTTGGAGTAGAGGAGCGTTAGCCCAACAGGACGAGAGATAACGCTGCACAAGGACCGCGCTGGCAGCCCCACTGCTTGTCCATGTTGAGTGTGTGTGGGGTCTTCCAGGCCAAGGTGGCCTTCAACTCCCAGGGGTGATGCTCTAGGTGTCACACTGCCTCACACCAAAGCAGAACTCCAGAGAGTTCCAAGAGGAGGTGAGAAAGCATCTTTACCAACAGACACATCGATAGATGGGGTGCGGGGCCATCACACTGGGCCTTGTTCTCATGAGTGCCTGGATGTTGCCAGAAACTGTGAAATTTAAACCGTTATCTGGAGCTAGCAGGGCTTACGGCATCTCCCTTAACGACCAGATGACACACAGCAAGATAAGCCTGTTGAACATCTTGTCCAGAGAGAACACTGTTTGTTCCCTCTCTTCTCTTTAAGAACAAAAGCAACTCCTGTGCGTATGCGCGTTCTGTCTCTATCTCCCTGAAGATAAGATAACGGACGTCATAGAGTGCTGACCTCTATAAAGTGGCCTGAACAGGAGGGATCCTTTCACACGAGTCCTCACAACATGGAATGTCTGTGTGCTTGAATGCATTGACTCAGACACACACAGGCAAACACAAGTGTGCACACCCGCATGTCCTCGCACGCATGAACTCAGTCATGCATGCATGAACTGCTTACACAGCCATGAGTACATGCACACACACGCTCAAGCATATATGCACCACTCTGCCGGGCCTCCTCAACCCTCCTGAATATTCCACACATCACATATTTAAACTGCCACAAAACAGAGTTCATGTGGAGCCGGGGGATCGATCTGGGGTCCCGCTCTTGCCCTTTTGAGTCTGTGCAACTGCAGGACAGAGGAAGAGACACAAGTCCCAACCCAGAGAAGGCGCCAAGACGATGCTCCTACAGAGCAAGAAAGAAGACAGGCTCCCCGCCATCCAAGACGGTCGTGCGCGTTTCACGGCGGGAGGCTGTATTTTCTCCAAGCTCTTCTGTTTCATTGCTTCTGTTTACTTTGAAAATAATAAATACTACTTACATGGCAGGAACAGAATACTGACACACTAAAAAGGATGTCTGAGACAGCTCCTCGGTAAATCAGTTCTCGTTTATACAAAGAAGGAAAAATGACTCACCAAGCGGTATAACCAATGCAGCGCAGTCCAGGTCACCGTGGTTAAGTCATGCGAAAGGCCTCTATGTGTACGGAGCTCCCCCGGTGGATTACAGCTCAAGGATGTGTGGTGCAGAGGCTAAGCAAACACACATGCGGCATCTACCACGTGGAGCCACCCACAGCGGGTTCCCTGGGGAGCAATCCTAACACCAGCAGGAAAACTAAGTGCCACACGCTGGCTGTGTGCTTGACGCCTGTCTTCTGCCCTTGCAACAGCCCTTACCCTAAGTCCTAGACCCTGAGCGAGAAGACTTTGCCCCTGTCAGTGGCAAGGCCAGGACCCAGCTCTCTCTGACCTCCGCCTTTGCTCCTAAATCAGACCTGTCCCCACACAGCACCTGACAGGCGGAAGTCAGGTCAAGGGGAACTCTGGACTGTGCAACTTTGCCTGAGATGTCATCACAGGGTGAGAAAGCTGAGAACAAGCCCACGGTGTCCCTGCTGGTGCCATGCTGCTCAAGACAGCTCTCCCCACACCCCCCGACAGCTCTGCTGGCACAGGACCAGGGCTCTGGGATCGACACCAGGCATGACAGCTCTGATTCCCAGGCTCTCTGAGCTGCCAGTTTCATCGTTCCAATTCAACCACAACTTTCCTTTTCCTTCTTTTCACACTTGAGAGTCGTAGTTAGAGACCAAAATTTTAAAATATGAGCATTTCTGCAAGGGCGACATTAAAAGTCAGAGAGACTCCTTGGGCTTCTATTTTTGCCGTGTTCCTGGAAAGGCACAAAGCCCCTACTGGACCCTATAGGGTGGGACATGGAGGGGCTGCTGTATTTGCCCATAGACATTTTGGAACAAGCCTGATGGAGGACACCAGTCAGAGAGCATCGGTGTTATTTCTCATTACCTTACACTGCAGGCCGCAAACAGAAGGGCCAACACACTTGGCTGACATGGCTCTCTTGAACTGAACAAGCTGTGCAGGGGAATGGTCAGTGACAGGCCATGGCATTCACAGATGACCATAATATCACCCACTGCAGTGCTGTTTACAAATAGGGGCTTAAAATACAGTGGCTCATGCCTGTGATCCCAGCACTTTGCGAAGCCAAGGCAAGAAGATCACTTGAGGCCAGGAGTTTAAGACTAGCCTGGGCAACATAACGAGACTCTCTGTCTTAAAAAAAATAAGAAAATTAGCCGGCATGTGGCGCATGCCTATAGTGCAGCTACTGGGGAGGCTGAGGTGGGAGGATGGCTTGGGCCCTGGAGGTCAAGGCTGCCGTGAGCCCTGATCATGCCACTGCACTCCCACCTGGATGACAGAGCAAGACCCTGTCTCAAAAAAAAAAAAAAAACGTCCTGAATCACAGGGTGTCACATCAGTTTGCTCTGAGTACACTGTAGCCCCTGTTCTCTGCCTTGGATGCAGATCTAGATGAATTACACAGACAGCTGCCTGGTCTCTGGCTTCTCCTTAGAGACCAGGTAGCCAGTACCCACCACTCATCCAACACATTCTTCAGCACTGACTTCTCCAAGGGGCCGAGTCGGAGGAGGGGCACCCCAGCCTTCTCACCCAGGCTCAGGCCTCTGAAGTATAAAAGAATCCCGCCGGGCGCGGTGGCTCAAGCCTGTAATCCCAGCACTTTGGGAGGCCGAGGCGGGTGGATCACGAGGTCAAGAGATCGAGACCATCCTGGTCAGCACGGTGAAACCCCGTCTCTACTAAAAATACAAAAAATTAGCTGGGCATGGTGGTGCGTGCCTGTAATCCCAGCTACTCAGGAGGCTGAGGCAGGAGAATTGCCTGAACCCAGGAGGCGGAGGTTGCGGTGAGCCGAGATCGGGCCATTGCACTCCAGCCTGGGTTACGGAGTCTGACGAAAACCCCCTAACAAAAAAAAAAAAAAAAAAAAAAAGAATCCCTAGAGCCCCTTAGAGGCCCCGGGTCACATCTGCAACCCATTAGGTTTGATGCGTGCATCTTTCCATCATAGGCACCCTACTCTAAAGCAGCCATGAGAGACCACTTGCAGGGTCTGCAGGGAGGAAGGCACTGAGGGGGAGGTCCCAACAGCACAGAAGCCCACAGTCTGAGATTCTGCACATTTTCTAAAGGAAATCCCTAACCCCACAGATGAAAACGACGCCAAAGAGAAACCCCAGCACTCTCCAAGGGTCTAGTCAAGAATTAATTAGCAAACAGCACAGTTAGGTTATGAGGAAGTCAACTGGCTTTCCTGGTTCAAAGATGTTCTGTGTGGTGTACCCCACTGGTCCGCTCAGCAGCCCTATCCCCAACCATTCCCGCATTCATTAAAATCACACGTCTCATACTAGATTTATTAACGCAGTCACAAAAGAATTAGCAAGTTCCATTCATTACTTGATGTCTAAACATCAAGCAGCCAAGCTGGTGGCTTAGCTTAGTGACAGGATCTGAAAGGAGGCCATACCAAAATGAACCCTAATTCTAAAGACTGAAAAATTTCATTTGCAAACTTGAGTAAGAGATCTGAAAGTCAAATTAAATAAACTGAGTTACTGACACTTCAGAGCAGACCAGAGAATAAATTATTAATTTACACATTGCTGCCTCCTCTCCCATTGAGGAAATCTGCTCTTTCTGTAAAAATGTCCTCATGAGCATGTATCTGTGTAAATACGGTTGGACCCTGCTAAGTAAGGCAGGGTAAGGGGACACATAAGTTAACAAGGGGAATTTCATGATTTAACTTTCGGAAACTCCCCCAAAAAAGTTTTCTTTTTGTTTTTTTGTTTGTTTTGCTTTGGATTAATCAGCGAGAGAATCATAAACACGGACTTACCTCGGCATGAAATGCCTTGACCATCAATAATCTGTTTGCAAACTCCGCACACTTTGGATTTTTTTTTGAAGGCCTTGTTCTTAAAAGTGTGCAGACTCGAGGATAATTCTTCTGGCTGAAAAAGTAAAGGAAGAAACTGTCAACATTTCCTCTCATAGTTTGTTTCTTTTTTCTTTTCCTTTTCGGGAGATAATAAATCTAGTGGAATTTGTAAAGAGCAAAAACAGGAACTTTAGCAAGCAAACAGAGAAAAAGAAGCCATCCTGGTGATCTAAACTTCCTAAGACGAGCCACAGATACCCTGTCAGCATTCCCAGTTCCAGAGTCCTAGATGGACACTCACTCTCACCCAACTCATCAATCCCCACATTACATCAACCAACATCATGATGTGAAAATGCACTCCCTTCCAGACTTGAGCCACAGAGCCACAAATTCTGTGACAAATTAATCCACATACCCTTTTAGACTCTCAATCCTTTTTCTTCTGGAAGAATTAATTAGCAAACAGCACAGTTATGTTATGAGGAAGTCAACTGGCTTTCCTGGTTGAAAGATGTTCCAGAATCACCACTAAGCCCTTGAGCCTCTCTAAGCCTCTCATCACCTTGAGCCTCTCTAAGCTCTTCTGCAGAAGAGACAGTTCAGCCTGTGATACATGTGTGGTTCTTCCTCAAACACAATTACAAGCATTAGCACTTGGAAAAATGAAACGCTCAGCCACCTATTCATGTTTGCAGAGACAAAGCTCACAGTTATATGATAATCTTATAAGAATTCAATTTGCTTTGAGAGTCAAGCACCAATCATACCTATTTGATGATATGTGACCATGTATTCTATCAGTACCTAATATCCATGTGGATTCATTGAAGCCATTACTCACCCACTGGAATAATTAAATTTATTTGAAAAGATGAAATAGTATCTAGAATGTGGAATAAATGGTACAACTACTTTAGAAAATGGTTTGACAATGTCTTATAAACTTAAGCATACACCTATCCTCTGACTCAGCAATTCCATTCTTATTTACACTCAAAAGAAATAAAATTCTATGTCCATAAGAGCAAGAACGGTCCTAACAGCTCTATATTACCCAAGTGTCCATCGTAAGGAGAACAGATAAAAATAACTATGGTATATCCATACAATGGAATACTATTCAGGAATATACAAGCACGAACCACATATGACAACATGCATGAACATCTAAAAACATTATTTTAGCTGAGAGACGCCAGGAGTACACAGTGAGTGACCCTACTTACAGACTGTACACCAGCAGGCAGTCTACCTTCAGAGAAGTAATAATGGTTACCTCGAGGGGTGTGTGTAGTGCCTACAAAGGGCATGAGGAGGGTTTCTGGGTGAAGAAAGTGTTTGACTTCCCACTCTGGGTGATGGTGACACAGCAATACCCACATTTAAAGTCATTAAGCTGCATGCCTAAGATTCTCACATTTTACTGTCTAAAGACCTATAAGAAAGTTGAATATATATATATATAAAGAAACAATCCCCGCTGGGTGCAGTGGCTTATGCCTGTAATCCCAGCACTTTGGGAGGCTGAGGCGGGTAAATCACAAGGTCGGGAGTTCAAGACCAGCCTGGCCAATATGGTGAAACCCTGTCTCTTCTAAAAATACAAAAATTAGCTGGGTGTAGTGGCGCATGCCTGTAGTCCCAGCTGCTTTGGAGGCTGAGGCAAGAGAATCGCTTTAACTCAGGACGCAGAGGTTGCTGTAAGCCGGTATTGTGCCACTGCACTCCAGCCTGGGTGACAGAGCAAGACGCCATCTCAAAAAAAAAGGCACAATCCTGGAAAGATGTTAGTAATATAGTGTTAAAGATATGGTAAGACAATGTTAAGCCATGTGATAGTATTTGTATTTTTTAAAAAAACCTATAGGGCTGGGCATGGTGGCTCACACCTGTAATCCCAGTTCTTTGGGAGGCCGAGGCACGTGGATCACCTGAGGTCAAGGGTTCAAGATCAGCCTGACCAGTATGGTGAAACCCTGTCTCTACTAAAAATATAAAAATTAACTGGGCATGGTGGCATGCACCTGTAGCCCCAGCTACTATATATGAACTTCCACTTCTGATTTGATGTAGTACCAGGAACTGGATTTATCCTCACCTGAAGTAACCAAAAAAATGTGCAAAGTATATGAAAACAAGGCACTACACAGGAAATGGAGAATGGTGATACCTCGGAGACAAGAAAGAATGAGGCAAACTCCACAACTGCCCCTAGATTGCTGCCCTGAGTAAGCTTCCAGGCTGCAGCTAAGGAAGAGGGACCCCAGGCTGAACCCAGAGTACCGCCTGGGCTTAGGAGAAGGTGCTCAGAGTCCAGGGAGAAGAAGGCAACAACGGTTTGCTAGACAGAGTACCACAGAACAGAGAGCTGCAAAGAGCTCTGACGACCTGCCTTCCTGCAGAAGGTCCCTTCAAGCCTTCAGCTGAGTATTGATGAGCCCATGCATGGCCGTGTGTGTGTGTGTGTGTGTGTGTGTGTGTGTGTGTGTATACAAAAAGTATCTTCAGCTGAGTACTGATGAGCCCGTGCACGGCCGTGTGTGTGTGTGTGTGTGTGTGTGTGTGTGTACAAAAAAATCTTCAGCTGAGTACCGATGAGCCCGTGCACGGCCGTGTGTGTGTGTGTGTGTGTGTGTGTATACAAAAAATATCTTCAGCTGAGTACCGATGAGCCCATGCACGGCCGTGTATGTGTGTGTGTGTGTGTGTGAATACAAAAAGTATCTTCAGCTGAGTACTGATGATCCCATGCACAGCCGTGTGTGTGTGTGTGTGTGTGTGTGTGTGTGTGTGAATACAAAAATATCTTCAGCTGAGTACTGATGAGCCCATGCACGGCCATGTGTGTGTGTGTGTGTGTGTGTGTGAATACAAAAATATCTTCAGCTGAGTACTGATGAGCCCATGCACGGCCGTGTGTGTGTGTGTGTGTGTGTGTGTGTGTGTGTGTATACAAAAAGTATCTTCAGCTGAGTACTGATGAGCCCATGCATGGCTGTGTGTGTGTGTGTGTGTGTGAATACAAAAAAATCCAGCACGAAAATACCTAGCACCAAAGTAAACTTCTCAGTGTCTACTATCTAGTCTAAATTTTTTTTTCTTTTTTATTTTATATATATATATATATATATATATATATTTTTTTTTTTAATAAAGATGGGGTTTCACCATGTTGATCAGGCTGGTCTTGAACTCCCGACCTCAGGTGATCCGCCCGCCTTGGCCTCCAAAGTGCTTGGATTACAGGCGTGAGCCACCACGCCCAGCTATCTAGTCTAAAATTATCAGTCACTCAGAGACAGAAAAACACAGCCTATAATGAGAAAAAATAATCAGTCAACTGAAACTGCCCCAGAACTGACAGAGATGTTAGAATTAGCAGGCAATGATGTTAAAAGGGTTATTTTAACTATGCTACATGCTACAAAGTAGAGACCTGAAAGACATAAAAAGATCGAAATCAAACATCCATAGAAGGAAATGTAAAAATATGAGATGCAAGATACACTGGATGAGATTATTGGCAGATTAGATCCTTCAGAAGAACAGGTGGATGAACTTGACGACATCACAGTACAAACCTCCCAATATAAATTACAGAGTGATGAGGCAACCTAAATAAATAACTTAATGAGTATCAGTAAAGTGTGGGAGAGCCTTAAACAACATAACATACATGTAATGGAGACTTTGAAGGAGAAGGGAGGAAAAGGGCAATATTTGAAAAAATAAATAATGGCTGAAACTTTTCAAACCAGGAAGAAAATTATAAACTCATAAATCCAAGAAACTCAAGAAATTTCTTGGCTAGGCACGGTCGCTCACACCTGTAATCCAAGCACTATGGGAGGCCAAGGTGGGTGGATCACCCGAGGTCAGGGGTTCGCAGCTTGGCCAACACGGCAAAACCCCGTCTCTACCAAAAATACAAAAAATAAGCTGGGCAGGGGTGACAGCCCCTGTAATCCTAGCTACTTGAGAGGCTAAGGCAGCAGAATCGCTTGAATCCAGGAGGTGGAGGTTGCAGTGAGCCGAGATCACGCCATTGCACTCCAGCCTACACAACAAGAGCAAAACTCCATCTCAAAAAAAAAGATATGTATTTCTAGCAGAAGAAATGTGACAGGAATACTCCAAGGCACAAATAATCGAATTGCTTAAACCCAGTAATAAGAGAAAAATCTTAAAAACAACCACAGGACCAAAAGACACATTACACACAAGGGACCAACCATTTGGATACAGGTTTCTCGTCGATTTAAAAAACGTAAGTGAGAAGACAGCAATGTGATAGAAAATACCAAAAGTTAGACACAAAGAAGGGAATAGACACCAGGGCCTGCTGGAGGGTGGAGGATGGGGGGAGGGTGAAAACTGAAAAACTACCTGTCGAGTACTATGCTTATTACCTGGGGGAGGAAATAATCTGTACACCAAACCCCCACGACACACAATTTACCTATATAATAAACCCACACATGTACCCCTGAACCTAAAAGTTAAAAAAAAATAATAATAAAATAAAATAAAACAAAATGCTGAAAGAAATCCTGTCAATCTAGAATTCTGTACCCAACAAAAATAGGGCTTAAAAATAAAAGCAAAAACTTCTTAAAATATGCAAAAAATATATACAAATGAAGCCAAAAAATTCATCACCAGCTGACACATATGACATTAAAGACAGTGGCTGGGCAAAAAGGACACAGCAGATGGAAATACGGCTTTACACCAACAAATGAAGAGCACCAGAAATGCTAATTCCATCGGTAAATTTATGAGTTTTTCTTATTATTTAAAGCTCACCAAAAGATAACTGTTTAAACAATAGTGTAATGTGACACATGTAAAAGTCAATGTTCTAATAAAACAGCACAAAGTTCAGGAAAGGAGAAAAGGAAACATACTATTGACAACAGCGACTGCTACCATCACACTGCCTGCAGCAGGGAGGCACGGCTGGGGCTGCCCTCTCCATGGAGCCAGTGGGAGTTCTGCCCCTTCTAAGTTGGGGTGGGAACTCCCTGGGTACCACTGCAGCTGCCAAATTGTAGCTGTGGATCCAAGCCT